TCATGTGGTTCTTCTCCTTTGTTTTATTTATGTGGTGGATGACATTGATTGTTTTTCTAATGTTGAACCATCCCTGCATACCTGGTATGAACCGCCCATGACATTTTTTAATTGAAAACTTTACTGATAAGATAATTGTCGTTGATAGGTGCTGTTGGGTTGTCTCTAACTCATAGCAATGCTGTGTACAATAGAACAAAACACTGCCTGGTCCTGTGTCAGCCTCACGATCCTTGCTATATATTTGAGCCCATCATTGCAGCCACTGTGTCAATCCATCTTGTTGAGGGACTTCCCCTATTTCATTGACCCTTCACTTTACCAAGCATGATATCCTTCTCCAGGGAACAGTCCCTTCTGACAACATGACCAAAGTAGGTGAGACAAAGGGTAGCCATTCTTGCTTCCAAGGAACAATGCAGCTACACTTCCTCCAGGACAGATTTGTTCTTTTACCAGTCCATGGTACTTTAAGTATTCTTCACCAACACTGCAACTCAAAAGCGTCAACTCTTCTTCTGTCTTCCTTATTCATTATCCAGCTCTCACATGCATATGAGGCTATTAAAAATACCGTGGGTTGGGTTAGGTACACCTTAGTCTTCATGAAGACATCTTTGCTTTTCAGCACTTGAAAAGGTAGTTGTAGATTATTATAATTGTTAAGAAATTATACAGAAAGATCCATTGTACAATTTGCCACTTTCCCCCAATAATAACATTTTGGAAACTCAACGGCAGTGTGTTGCATTGCGTTCTTGTATAATAAATATCACAACCAAAATATTGTCATTGACACATCCCAGAGATTTCATTCAGATTTCCCCAGTTTTACTTGTACTCATTTGTGTGTATGTGTGTGTAGTAACTTCCGTACAGTTTTATTATTTGTGTTGGTTTGTGTACCTACCACCACAGTCAAGATACTGGACTGCTCAAGAACCATAGGTAAGTATCCTTCAGGTTCCTCTTTTATAACCAAGCCCATTCTCCCTGTACCCCACTGTGCCCCCAACCCTAACCTGTGGCAACTGTTAATCTGTCCTCCATTTCTAAAATTTTGTCATGTCAAGAATGTTAAATAGAATCATACAGTATGTAATCTTTTTATATTCCCCACCCCCCACAAGAGTTGTCTAAGTTGTGTATATCAACAGTTTGTTCCTTTTGACTGCTGAGTAGTAGTCGAAGGTATCCATTACAAATCTAAGGTATACAATGCATACATACGATACATTACAATGCCTTAACCATTCACCTTTGAAGTACATCTGAGCTGATTGCAGTTTTTGTCTTTTATGGATAAAACTTCTATGAGCATTTGTTTATAAGATTTTGTGTGAACTTATATTTTCATTTCCCTGGGATAAATGCCTAGGAGTGCAGTTGCTGGGTTGTATGGTAATTGCATGGCAAACTGTTAACTAGAGTGGCTGTACCATTTTACATTCTCCCATGGCTTATTTTTTTCCCTTATGGTGTCATTTACTTTGTTCCTCAATCTCCTGAATTTCCTGTGAACTAGAGGTTAGGTCTTGATTAGATTTAGGTTAAACTTTTTTTAAAACAAGATTATGGTCATCTTTAAAATGTGTGTGATACTGTGTTCTTTACAATGCATCCCATGAACTCTAAAGAAGTCATGGTGTGCTGGTGGGCAAGAAGTCTCACTGGCATGGCAATCAAATACCACATGGCACCAATCCAAAATGACAGCAAACATATTGAGGGTCTTGAGCTATTATGTCATGCATCCTGAGGAGCTCAAGGTGAGGATAAAGTCTCTGCCCCTACAGAACCTAGTGAAATGAACACCTAATTCTAATAGCATGAGCCCACTGATAGGGATATGACAGTAGTAGTTTGGAGACAGTAGTTAAGTCTCCCTTTGGGGTATGGGTATGGGGTTATAAGACTTAATTGAAAGCTGATTTTTGAGCTGACCCTTGAATGAAAGAAGAATGGATTCCAAATAGAATAGCAAGAAAAAATGATCAAGAGGTAGCAAAGTACATTTTTGGAGGTCCTGGGTTACCCTATGATGGAATGTAAATTTTGTGGCCAATAAAGTGGCTCTGGAAGTTCTGGTTTGGTTTTGACAGCAGGAGACTGAAAGACCCATGAGTGAACCACTGCAGTATTCTTTGTATGAAGAAAGATCCTAAATGAGGTGCCATAAAAGAGAGTTCAGAGTTCAAACATTTAGAGTTATTTTTAGAAAACGTGTCTGAAGTTTTAAGCTTTTGTGGATATAGCAATGCTACATCAAATGAGATTTGGGAGAGATGATGAGTATTAACGTGTGTTGATATGTCTGTGGGGCAGTCAAGTAAAGGTGTTGAGGTAGACTCTTGAAAATATAACATCTGGAGCTCAGGAGATATTGTGTACGAGGTGATAAATGATACTGTACATCTAGAAAGAAATGGTGCAGAGTGAAGCAGGCTCATAGAGGACAGAGAGGAACATGAACTAAGGTATTTAATTATCTTGCTGATGAGTCTGACTATCAGCATACTCTGTCTTTCATCTAAAGGAAACTGAAATGTCCTGGCAAGTGCTTACAGCTGACCTTCCAGGCTCACCAAGTTGGTCTTCCCCAAAATGGCACAGGGGAGGGTCTACCTGGGCACTGGAGGCTCTGTCCTGGTTTGATGCCTGGCCTGACCACAGGTTTGCGCAGTGTGCGCGCGAGCACTAGAAAAGCGCAGGAAAGGCCGCGAGATGGCTGCACCTGCGCAGTAGCTGGCTGTGGACTGTCGGTTGGACACAGCCAGCCAGGACAGTGAATGGAGGGATGGAGCTCCCCGAAGACGCGCAAAGGGCATCCACCTCTGCCGACAACCGCAATGTGCGACTCCATTCCCTGGTAACAGCCCCTACATTTCAGAGGAGCCCCTACGCCACCCCAGAGTCCATGCACAGCAGAGGATTGGAGTTTTCTAGCCGCCATCCCCAGGAGCATGGGAAGATGATGCCACCGAGGGACCAGGCCAATGTGGGCCCCGTGCACCGGCTGCTGAACGTGAGCGAGTAGGGGTGGGAAGAGGGTCCAAGCAGCGTCAGCCTCTACCCTGACCATCTCGAGTGCTGTGAAAGTGACTGTAACAGTCCATTTGATTCGAGAAAGGGTTTGAAGGGGTCAAGAAAGAGTTGTGGGACTTTGGGCAATTATTTTACTTGTTGGAGCGTCAGTTTAGCACTTTATATCATTACGTCCTTTAGTTGCCTTGAGAAACTAAAGGAAGTAATGAATGATATAAACTGCTTCAAAGCCACTGCCAAACACTGCTGGGGATATAAGACTACAGAGTTAGTTAGGCAAGCCGTTAAACCCAGAAACCAAAAACAAGGAAACAGCAATAGTAATAGCCTGAAGGTAATCCAGAGGTAGTACAAAATATTATAAAAAATGTTTACTGTCCAACAAAAAATTTCTCAAGATAAAATTAAACAGGAAAGTTTCGTCAGGTAAAGAAACCATTCTTTTTTCCTTTTAAATATATATATTTAAAAATGTAATTCTAATTAGTTTATAACTTATAAGTAAGTAATTTTACTGATCAGATTTTAATAAAACCTTTGCATAACAGAACAAATAAATATTTTGATTTATGAAGCACAGCCAAGATACATTTCTTCCATTTGGATTTTCAAATCTTCGAAGGTATCATCTTCAAATATAATGGCGTTAAAAACCAAATACTGAAATACATTGACCTTAGAACTAGACTTTCAAATCACTGCATCACAAAGTAATAAATTGTGCTTTTCAAAAACAGTGATGCTTATTATGTTTTGTACCATAAATAAATGAAATGGAATTAAAAATAATTTTTAGAAACACTGCATATTAAACATTTAATTTTTGTATGTTTTTGAATTTACATAATAAATTGTATATTTACATAATGTACAAATATTGGTGATAGATACTCAGATTTTTTTTTTTTGCTAATAAGATAGTGCAGTCAAAGGAATTTGGAGGCTACTTCTACAGAGCCTATAATTATCTCTTGTTTTCCCAAATCTTCCCTTCTGGAGGCTTTAAACTGCCAATTCCCTTGCATATGCCCACCTGTCTGCATAGAATTAAGAAACTTCACCTTATCCATTTGATAGTTCCAATCAAATGGAGAAAGTGAACCTTCTATTTGTGGTAGAGATGGGAGGTCCATGAAGGTTCAGTTTAGATATATACCAGAAAGACTTGAAAAAGCTAATACTTTGTTTCCTATATGACTGTCCGTTTTTTGTGGAAATACAAATGGTCAGCATGCTGGAATTCAAGAGTAACAAATGGTGGGATTTCAGTATCAAACCTCAGTTAGAACTGCCTAAGAACTACCTCATAAATGTTGGGCAAATAAGGGAAGAGAAGAAGAGTACTACAGGAGGAGGTGGTGACACTTCAAGTGGTTTGAAAAAGTGAAAAAGTTATAACTAGAGGGACAGTAGCCTAGACAAAGTAAATAACAGGTGTAAAACATAAAGAAGGCAATCTTATATTTTGTCAGTTATGTTTATATATGTAAATATATAAGGAGCTCTGGTGGTGTAGTGGATAAGGCATTTGGCTGCTAACCACAAGGTCAGTGGTTCAAGCCCACCAGCCACTCTGCAGAAGGAAGAGGTGGTGATATACGTCTGTAAAGATTTACAGCCTCAGAAGCCCAGTGGGGGTCATCAGAATCGACTCAGTGACAATGAGTTTGGCTTGGTTTTTGGTATGTAAATATATAAGTCATTAATGTGCTTATATTGATGTATAGATTCAATGCAATGAAAATAATCTGAATAAATTTTTTGTTTGGAAATTGATGGACCTTTTCTAAAACAAACATGGAAATGCAGAGACCTAGAATAACCAAAGAAATCTAGAAAGAGAAAAAGAGGGTGGAAGCACTTAATCCGTAGATATCAAATTATTATAAAATTAAATAAAGACAATGTGGCATTAGTGCAAGAATAGATTAATAAACCAAAGAAACTGAATAAAGAGGATAGATATAGACCCACCTATTATGGATACTCCATTTGTGACAAAGTTGGTGCTAAAGAATAGTCGGGAAAGGAGATTTGTAGTTGAGTCAACTGGAAATCTCTGTGCAAAAAAAGAAAACTTGACCTGTACCCATACCACATACCAAAAAAGAAAAAAGGAAAATATAAGTATAAATGAAATATAAATCTCGTTATGAAACGAAAACATCAACACTGGAAGACAATATAGAATAATTTCACTACTTTGGGTAGAAGGTTTCTAACACAAAAAGCAATAACTATAAAGGAAACAATGTATATACTGAGCTACATTTAACTTAAGAACTTTTGTTAATTGAAAGAAGCTATTGAGAGTGATACCACCACTGATCTGTCAGTTTGTCATCATGTGGTGGCTTGCATGTTGCTCTGAGGCTGGAAGCTATGCTACCAGAATTTCAAATACCAGCAGGGTCACCCATGGTGCACAGGTTTCAGCAGAGCTTCTAAGCTAAGACAGGCTGCAAAGAAGGATGGGGCCATCTACTTTTGAAAAATTGGTCACTGAAAACCTTATGAATAGGAGTTGGATATGTTGCTGGAAAACTTATGAATAGCAGCAAAACATTGTGTGATATAGTGCTAGAAGATGAGCCCCTCAGTTTGGAAGGCACTTAAAATATGACTGGGGAATTGCTGCCTTATCAAAATAGAAGTGACCTTAATGACTTGGATGGAGTAAAGTTTTCAGGTTCTTAACTTACTGATGGAGGATGACTCAAAATTGGAAGAAACAGCTGCAAACATTCATTAATAATCAGAACATGCAATCAATGTATGAAGTATGAATCTAGAAAAACACTATTAAGAGTAAATGAAACGGAACACATAAAGACCAACATCCTAGGCATTAGTGAGCTAATATGGACTGGCATTGGTCATTTTGAATCAATCATATGATCTCCTGTACTGTGAATGACAACATGAAGAGGAATGGTGTCACATTCATCATCACAAATTATGTTTTCAAGATCCACCCTGCAGTACAATGTTGTTAGTGATAGGGCAATATTCATATGCCTACAGAGAAGACCAGCTTATAGTACTGTTGTTCAAATTCATGCACCAACCACTAAAGACAAGGATGAAGAATTGAAGATTTTGATCAACTTCTGTAGTCTGAAAGTGACCAAACATGCAATCAAGATGTACTGATTATTACTGGTGACTGGTCTGAGAAAGTTGAAAACAAAGAAGAAGCATCAATAGTTGGAAAATTTGGCCTTCATGATAGAAATGACACTGGAAATCGCATGATAGAATTTGGCAAGATCAACAAGTTATTCATTGCAAATACCTTTTTTCAACAGCATAAATGGCAGCTATACACTTAGACCTTGCCAGATGGAAAACACAGAAATCAGATTGGCTACATCTGTGGCCCACCACTCATCTGTCAGTTTGTAATACTGCAGTGGCTTGTGTGTTGCGAGGCTGGAGGCTATGCCACCAGTATTTCAAATACCAGCAGAGTTACCCATGGTGGACAGGTTTCAGCAGAGCTTCCAGACTAAGACAGACTCAGAAGAAGGAAGGGATCATCCACTTCTTAAAGAATTGGCCAGTGAAATTTTATGCATAGCAGTGAGAAATTGTCTGATATATTACTGGAAAACTTTATGAATAGCCCCGAAATATTGTCTGATCCAGTGCCAGAAGATGAGCCCATCAGATCAGAAGGCACTCAAAATATGACTGGGGAAAGCTACCTCCTCAAAGTAGAGTGGACCATAATGACATGGATGGAGTAAGTCTTTCAGGACCTCCATTTGCTGATGTGACATGACTCAAAATGAGAAGAAACAGCTGCAAGCATCCATTAGTAATTGGAATAAAGAATGTATGAAGTATGAATCTAGGAGAATTGGAAGTTGTCAAAAATGAAATGGAATTTGTAAAGATCGATATCCTAGGCATTAGTGAGCTGAAATGGACTGGTTTTGGCCATTTTGAATCAAACAACCATATGATCTATGCTAGAAATGACAAAGAGGAATGGCATGGCATTCATCATCACAAAGAATGTTTCAAGATGTATCGTGAAGTACAATACTGTCAGTGATAGAATGATATCCATACACCTACAAGGAAGACCAGTTAATACTACTGTTATTCAAATGTATGCATCAACCACCAAAGCCAAAGATGAGGAAATTGAGGATTTTTACCAACTTCTGCAGTCTGAAATGCACCAAACATGCAATCAAGATGTACTGATTATTACTGGTCATTGGAATGTGAAAGTTGGAAACAAGGAAAAATCACTTGTAGTTGGAAAATATGGCCTTAGTTTTAGAAATGACGCTGGAAACTGCATGATAGAATTTTGCAAGATCAATGACATATTCATTGCAAATACCTTTTTACAACAATATAAACAGTGGCTATACATGTGGACCTTGTCAGACAGGATACACAGGAATCAGATTGTCTACGTCTGTGGCCAGAGGCAATGGAGAAACTCTATTATCTTCAGCCAAAACAAGGCCAGGAGCTGAGCGTGAAACAGACCATCAATTGCTCATATGCAAGTTCAAGTTGAAGCTGAAGACAATTAACACAAGTCCACAAGAGCCGATCTAAATTCAGATTATATCTCACCTGAATTTAGAGACTTATCTGAATTTAGAGAATAGATTATACTCATTGAAGACCAATGCCTGAAAACAAGACAAATTGTGGGATGATGTCATATATGAAGAAAGCAAAAGATCATTAAGAAGACAGGAAAGAAAGAAAAGACCAAAGTGGATGTCAGAAGAGACTGAAACTTGCTCTTGAATGGAGAGTAGTTAAAGTAAATGGAAGAAAAGACAAGATTAAAGAGCTAAACAGAAGATTTTATTTTATTTTTTTAATTATTATTTTTATTTTAAGAGCTTGTTTTACATTCAACGTCACACGTACATTTAGTTTCATTCCCCATTCGCTATGTCCAACCCTAACCCAGTCTCCTCCCCTCCCTACCCTGCAACCCTCCCC